TTGTCGCCCCCCAAATTGTGCCGCCCTAGGCCCGGGCCGGGCACTGTTGACGCCTATGTGATCACATAACTACACAGCATACTTTGAGCTACGCCGATGTGAACGTCGTATCTAGCAACCTGTAGTTAGTTTATGTTTTCGGAAGCGAATAAATATTTCTCTCTGATTTTTGTTTCCGCGATTATTGTCGAAAAAATCATTTGATATCAAAATCGTACATCAAATTAGTTTCTTTGTAAAGTCTCTAGTTATCAATAAACTCCCATTATCATCGCGCTAATATAGTGTCACTTACTGTTTCATTTCAAAATATACTTAATTAATATTGAATGGCCCATTTTTTGCTATATATATATTAAATGGTAGAGTCTTGGATTTGTGTATATTTTGTAGAGTTTCGAACAAGAATCCAAAAGTAATAAAAAATAAGAAAAGTTTTTTAATAAACAATTTTTTTCTTTATTTATTTATTTACTGTCGACGTTTCGGAACTAGGTACGTTCCATCTTCAGGACATCTGTCAAGAAACATGATCTTGATGAGATTTAAGCAAACAATATGTTTAAGAAAAGAAAATGGATTTTTTAAAAATAATAAATTAGTTCAAAAAATAATAATGTACAGAAATATGATAATATGATCAAAATGAAAATGATAAAAATAAATGAGTGGATTATCTAACAGGATATTAAAAATGATAAAAAAAATTCTTGAAAGTTATGGAAAATTTTAAGAAAAGGTTAATGACAAAATTGAATTAATTACCTGCATGTTTGAATATACGTTAGCACTTTTTCACTAAACACGATTTTAACAAAAAATGAATTTATGAGTTATTTTTCAGCCGAGTAGGTAAATTTTGTAAATCAAAATTACTATAAGTTTTGTCTTTTTTAAAATCATTGTTTGAAAATACAAACAATATTGTTCCCTCGATGTTATGAGATCGGCTGTTGGAAACGAACTAACTAAATCTGAGTCATACGCAACACGTGTAAACACTTGAGAACTGTGAGATTGCATGTGTGTGTTTTTATATGTTAGGATGTGAATACTTAAATTATTGATCTTATCTTATTCTTATGAATGTTTCTAATAGTGTCAACATTAGATCAGATCACAACCTATTACATGATTCATATTTAAAGTTTTTACACTTTTTGACAAACAATTAATATCGACTTTCATTTAAGATCAATGATTTAAGTATTCACATCCTGTCAGCATCACTTCAAAATAATGCTTGAGGTAATTCTGCGTCTTAATGTCTCTTCCACATCGTCCCGCACAGCACCAAATCGCGGGCACACGAAAAACACATGCTCAGCATCTTCGATTTCGCTCAAACAATATGGGCAATCCGGCGAGCTATCGTGCTTGAAGCGGTGTAGGTAGGCTCGAAAACAGCCGTGCCCAGATAGCATTTGCTTAGTATAATAATTTACTTCTCTTACGTATGCAAATCGGACGGTAGGATGATGTTTCATCTGGTAGTTTTTTTTCCTTTGGGAAGAAGCACTAATTTTTTCATGGAAAAACCCCTTCATTCGGACATGTATTATAGGCATTAAGAAACATTGTCGGAGATATCATAATTGATGTTTTTATGGCAATATTATGAATTCCATCTAATCTCGGTGTCTTACTATTTCCAACCCGAGGACAAGCTTCCAACAGTTCTTGCAGTGTTATAGGTTCCATTATCCAGTTCCATTATCCAGTTCTACATGTGTTACCTGGTAGTTTAAATTAAGTTGTCGTAGAAATAAAGTAGTTATTTAATCAATAATCGTGGGCAATCTTATAAGGCTTTTGAGCATAACAATCTTATAAGGCCTTTCCCATGGGTTTTCCTCGACCTTATCCAGAAGTTCTTTCCAGCACCCAATTTTATTATCTTTGCTTTATTTAGTTGCCGACGTGCCTGTTTGTATTTCACTACCAGTTGTGCAGAAATTGTGAGACTATATCTTCGCTGAGAGATCTTTCTTTTCTTGTGGCACTCTTTACGAAGAGAGCTGATTTCTTCAGTCCACCAATGCATAGATTGTCTTTGATTTATGCCATGCTTACGAGTCATTCTGATATCACAGACTTCGGTTATTCTCTCCACCAGCTCTCCAGTATGCTCATCTGCGTATTCTGAAATTATAGGCTTGCAATTTAAGGCAACTCTCATGGCGCTTTCATCAAAAAATTTTATTTTCTCCCCAGACTTTAGATATCTTCACATGTCTTCTAATATTTCTATTTGTTGATATTTTCTAGGTGATTGCATTGTGGTCACTAGCAGTGAAATACCTAGTACTTCCCACTTGAAATTTCCTCTGACGAGGCTATTGCTAACAAAAGTAAGGTCTAATATTGAGCTTGCACTGCTCTTGACAAAGGTTGGCTTATCACCGCTATTTATTAAAACACCATCAAGTGCATTAAAGGCCTCTAAAAGTACTTTACCTCTTTCATTAGTCTTCCTACTTCCCCAGTCAATGGTTATCGCTACGGGGTGGTGTCGTTTTGCATCCTCTAAAAGACGATCTAAAAAATCAACAAAATCTGGCAAAGAAAGACTAGGTGGAGCGTAACAGCTGTATAAATGTATGCCATCTAATGATGCTGCTACAAATCCACCGTTGCTATTGTTAACAACATTCTGGAAACCACCAGTTAACTGCTTTGGTGATACTGTTCGTTTCCTATGACCAATCAGTTAGTTGTTTGTAAGGTTGTGATAAGAGGGCAACATCAATTTTCATATCACTTACCGTCTGCATAAGCAAGTCGTGTGTAGCCTCATATTATTTTCATGCTTTTGCGTTCATTATTTTCTCCATGGCCTCCCTATATACAGGGCATTTGTGAATGCCGGCATGATGTGCTACATTTTCAGAATTTTCATTTTCAGCGCATAGAACACATTTTGCTGCATTTATACATTTGGCTATTTTGTGACCTTTTTGTCCACATCTAATACATAGATTGGTTCGATTCACTTCGTTCTTGCACTGTGAACCATAATGTCCGAATAGCCAGCATTTAAAGCATCGGATTGGTTTCTTGATGGTTTTAATTCGGCAGTTGACCCATCCAATTCTTATTTTGCTACTTGCTCTGAGCAGATCGTGTACAATTGCCGCTGGAAGAGCTACAGTAGCAATCTGGGTACCTCTGTATGCCTTACGAATCTTATTTGTTCTCTGCAGGCTCTTCCGGTTGCTTTTTGTAGTACTGACTGAATATTAATTTTTGAGGTTTCATCATCAATATCCCTTATTTCCATAGTTTCTTGGTGCTCCTTATAAATAACTTCGGCCTCACCTTTAACACACCTGCAATAATCTGTTGTAGTCCTTGGCCTTTGTCCGCACTTTTCTTGGAAATGGTTATCAATAAGTCTCCATTTCTGGTTTTATTTTTTTGTCTACTGTCATATTTACCTGATCATCATCGACATCATGCTTGATGCGACGTAAGGTTTTGGAAAAATTATCTTTTTCGGTAGGCCGGATCAATAAGGCATTTGGTTTTGAAAAAAATTTTATCATTTTATGGTTAGAGTCCTGTTCTGACAGATGTACCCTTGCTTCCTTTTTTTCTGTTTTCTCGGCTGAACTTTATGCCAGTCATTTACCTCGATTTGTTCTTTATTACATATTTCTATGATCGACTGACGTCTTGGCAAACCATTTTTGTTATTAACCTGACTATTTCTCATGTGTTGTGAGTTTCGGTTTCTTGTGGCTTCGCTTGTGTCCTGTGGTATGCTTTGTTCTATAGGGGCTGTTTCACCACTTTGTAGTTCATTTATTAGAAAATTTTGTTTGTGTGTGTGTGCGCGGATACAAATTTTCGTCGACGATTTCGGAAACACGGTTCAACCGTTTTCAATTATTCAAAAAACATTCGATTGCTGTTGATAAGGAGACGTGCTGATTAATTTTTGGCATAGGCAGATCTAGCCATTTCGAAGATACGGGGCAAAAAGTGCTACAAACAGTAACTCAGTTTTTAACAGAACGGATTTTAATAATTCAAAAAACATTCTACTTGTATTGAAAAGAAGAACAACAGATTAAATTTTTGGGAATGCAGGTCTAGCGGTTATGGACTCTCGATAAAAATAAATTAAAAAAATGCCTTTCGGCGGTCAAAAATGATCATTAGACATATGCACATCAAATTATCAGATATTTTATAGAGATTTCAATAATGTGTACACATTATGTGTAGTTTTTTTTGGGTTCTATACTAAGATTTTTAATTTTAAAATTCACGTATATAGTTCAAACAAATGTCCTCGACATTTTCGACAGTATGGAATAACCGATTTGAATAATTTAAAAAACATTCGCTTCATATTGATAATGAGACGTGCTGATTAGTTTTTCGTGGAGGCAGGTCTAGCCCTTCCGAAGATATGGGGCAAAAAATGCCAAATACGGTAACTCAGTTTTTAAGAGAAGGGAGCGTCCGATTTTAAAATTCAAAAAACATTTTACTTGTATTGACAAAATGAAAAAGTGATTAAATTTTCGGGAAAGCAGGTCCAGCGATTATGGACTTTCAATAAAAATAATTTAAAAAAATGTCATTTGGCAGTCAAATATGTTTATTGGACATATGTACATCAAATTATAAGATATTTTATAGAGATTTTAATAATATGTACACATTTTGTGTAAATTTCTTGGTTGTAAACATTTTAATTATGTGCGGAAAGTGATTTTTTCTTAAGCAGGCACTTTCAATAAAAATAATTTAAAAAAATGTCATTTGGCAGTCAAATATGTTTATTGGACATATGTACATCAAATTATAAGATATTTTATAGAGATTTTAATAATATGTACACATTTTGTGTAAATTTTCTTGGGTTGTACCAACATTTTTAATTATGTGCGGAAAGTTTCAGCAATTTTTCTTAAGGCACCCCACTAGTTTAGTGATCAATTATTTTTAGTTTATTAACTAACTAATGGTTTAATAAACTAAAATTTCAGCTGCCTAGTCAACCAGAATGCGATAATGCTGTAAGCAGTGGCTCCGGAAAGTGCGTTCCATTATTATATTGCCCCGGCGCTCAAAATCAGATAATAAGCTTAGATATCTATCGGAAATTTTTCTGTACCGTGGAAGGGTAAGTCAATACGGTGTAAATTTAATCATATATTTTAGAATATGAATATATTATAGGATTTTTGCACTACAAAATTGCACGCACTCTTTATACACGCTGCGTGAGTCGAACGCGGAGACTATGTTTATAAAAATCTCTCACCTATTATATTTATAGTAAGATTTTGTTAGTTATTTTATGGATATAACATTTAGGAAATTATGTATTTCTAATTAAGATGGTTAGTAATATTAATGTGATTTATTTGCTTTAGATTTGCTGGGGTGTGCTGCGATGAAAACAACCGACAGACGGATTCTTTGCCGTGATGAAAGCAACCACAAATATCACTCAATTTTGTTTAAATAAAATTATAAAAGTAGCAGTACCTAGGATAGGTATAGAAATAAGAAATGCATTGATGCACTATCTACTTAAAAAAATTCATTCAATTATTACATATATTTTATTAATACAATTATAAATTTATTATTTATTTTCAATATTATTCTTTACAGTAATCTAAATTAAAATCGCTTGTCGTACAGGCGAGTTTTATTAGCGAATAAAATTGTATCATTATCACACATAAAACTTTTGACTAGAATGTCATATATCCAAATGTTTTTCCAACGTTATTTTCTACAAAATTACTGTAGGTTATCAACTTAGGAAATTATCATATGAACTACAATAAAAAAACAATATAAACTTACCCGAAAAGAATAATTTTTACTGGTGTTTTTAGATTTAAATGTAAGTTAGAATTACTAGTATGTATTTTTTTTGTGCAATAAGACTTTATAAAATAACTTTAAGTATTCTTTATACAATAAGAGAAATATATTTGTAATTTTACACAAACATTTTTTACATAAAATATTATTAATAAGTAATATGACGATGTACGATCGCGTTATGAGTTTTCTAATGTAAAATCCAGGTCCTTATTACTACGAAAAATACTTCGGGCGAACATTACTTCTAATAAAATTACAAATATACAAACTAAAATCCGGTGTTGTTCTAATATTTTTTTGCCGGAACGCTAAAATTTAAAAACCGGTTCAAAAACCTGATCTCATATTTGTTCCGTTCGAAAAGGAAAGAAACAAGAATTATTACAAAACCCATTTTGTGCACGCATGTATGTTTATTGCAATAATATGAACATTTCATGAAAACTATTTGAATTATAATTTATAAAATTCACTTATTAAATCATTTTCTGAACCTAGCGATTTTTTCCCCGAAGGAGAAGTTTATGTTTTCACAATAAAATTCGATTCGCTAATTAACTTCCCGTAGGGTATGTTATTGTAATGGGCCGAAAATCGGAATTGAAAATTTTTACATTTCTCGACGTTTTGAAGGTTTCTGAACGTTTTGGCATACTTCAGAAAAAATGGATGTGTGTGTGTGTATGTATGTATGGATACAAATTTCCAGTCACGTTTTCAGGCGCACGGATCAACCGATTTGAATGGTTCAAAAAACATTCGATTCCTATTGATAGGGAAAAGAGCTGATTAGTTTTTGGCGAAGGCAGGTCCAGCCATTTCGGAGATACGGAGCAACGAGTGCAGAAAATAGAAATCGCCTTTTTGAGAGAACGGAGTATCCGATTTGAATGATCTAAAAAACATTCAATTAGTAATGATTGTGAGAAGTGTTTATTAGGTTTTGTCTTTTTTTTTAGTTTTTTTGTATATCGAAAATAATTACAATAATGTTACAATATTTATAATAATCTATTTGAAAACATTCAGTATTCCTCGAACATTTTGTTACGGTGCGGGAAGTTCCAGCAATTTGCCTTAAGGCACGATGCCATACACGCCACTAGTTTTATGTTTTTCGACGTTTCAAGCAAATTTGGAAAAAGTATGTGTGTGTATGTATATGCGTGTATGTGAACAGATTTTTTGCCGTAAATCGAAGTTTTCTCAAAAACGACTAGTCCGATTTCAAAAATTTAAAAGCCATTCGATGTATCTCTATGAGGACTAGAATTTTTCAATCTTGCGCGACGATCAGCCAAGCCGTTTCTTTGAAAACCGCATTAAAGTGAAAAAAAATTCTTTCACGTTTCAACCCGCAATTCTAAATCGATTTTGAAAATTCAAAAACTGTTTGGAAGATATTGGTTGGGAATCGTACTGATTAGTTTTTGGTAAAAATCGGCCGGGCCGTTTTCTTGTAATAAAAGTGTTAAAAAAACTTTTTTCGACGGTTTTTATGAATTTTTTTTTTCGAGAAGGCATTTGCGTCTTCCAATATCCATGATATTGGAATATGTGGGAGTTTGGTAGGTCGCGTCAATTTTAGTAAGCGACGGAAAAAAAATGTGTTTTATTAATTGTGATAAATGAAATTATAATAATAACATAAAAGATAAAAGATTGCACTTATTTTTATATTTATATTTTTAATTAAAGATGATTTTTGTTAAATTTGGCCAAACAAGTTAGAGCATGAACAATCCGCTGAAGTTGGGTTTTCCTTTTTAGATACAAGAATGTCGATTTCTGATTCCGAGCATTTACAACAATCGATTGATTGCCCACATTTGCAGCATTTACAATATTGATCACCCAGTGCTTCATGAAGCTTCATTTTGTTGCTTTTATTGTTTTTAGAATTACATTCCATAAGCTTCCTCTCTGCTTTGCACGATTTAACGCGCATCTTTAGTAAACATTTTTCTTGTTTTTGTTCGAGCTTCATTTGCTTTTTTCTTTGTTTTTCTTCCTTTCTTTTAATTTTTTTGCATTTCTTTAACTGCTTCTTGTCTAGCTTACAACAAATAACATTGCTCTCTAAACGCTGCAAACATTGTTGCACCAACTGCTTTAGACACTCTATATCAGCTTTTTGTAGTTCCAAAGTTTTGGATACCTGGTTCAATTCCTGAATGCTCGATTCATCATTTTTAATCTTGACGCCGTTAGAAGTACATTTTCTAATTTTGGAGGCACATGATGAAGACTTTCGAGTCGATTTAGAATAGTCTAGTTCTTGGGAAGAATTGTTGTAAGGACGATCAATACAGCATTCGCTTCTACGTTCATGTAATTGAGTTTCGATCATTTTAGGATTACTTATTGATTTTCTGCACATTTTTGTATTTGGTGTGTTTGTAGATACTGGTATGTCTTCACACATGTCTAAATCGGCTACTTTTCGATTGGATGTTGTTTTACAATAATCTTCTTCGCATTTTTTGTGCAACTTTTGAGATCTGAATCTTACATCGCTCGATGATTTGCTTAAGTCTGTATGCTTTTTACAACAAACTTTACGGCATAATTTTTTTGAAGGATGTTTTTGAAAGCATACATTCACACTTGTTGATTTTTTAGGACATAAATTGCTTATATTTTCACATGACGATATCTTTACGGTTAGATTTTTTGCAACACATGCCCGACATATAGATGATTTTCCGCACTGTGGTTTTTTCTTCTTGCATAACTTACTATTCGATGATTGTTTTGTTGTCAGATTGATGCTATGTGCGCATGACTCTTTACCGCATAAACTTGTATTAGAACATTGTTTATTCATATATCTTTTACAAGCTAAATGCCTTTCTTCATTTAGTTTTCTAGGTTGATGAAAATAAGCTGAAATTCTTTTAAATAAAGTTGAAATGTGAGATGGGCATTTTTCAGTTGCGGATAATGTACAAATATCAGCAGGAGGTCTCGATGGGACATAACATCTTTCAGGTTTCTGATCATGCAACGTTTGATTTCTATTGAATCCAGAATCTATTTCTGGAGGGCAATATGTGGATTTTTCATTACCATCAAATCTTACACTATATGGCTTGACATCGGTCGGACTCTGCCACTCTATGTATGAAGTCGATTTGTCAATACATTTGAATTGATCTTTTGATCTTTGTTTTCTTCGTCTTTTACATGTCGATCTAGAAGGCTTGTTTTCTTCACAATCACTCCTATCTGATTGTTCACAAACTGTTTGTGTTTCCATGGGTTCACAAGACTCTGAACAAGCAAGCGAAGTAGGATTCGGTCGTTGACACCTAGAGCGTTTTCTTTGACGATCTGCCTCATTGTCTTTTATTTCTTGTAGTTTAATTTCTAATTCGCTCAATCTTTTATTAAGCTCATTAACGTGTGACGAAACAGGCTCACCGCAATTTTTGCGTTTCATACTCCGAATAATATCATACAAGTTGAAACTGGTGAAAGTGGGTGTGTGCTGTGTCGTTGTTTGTTGCGAATCCTCGAATCGTATGGACACTTTTATATTTTCAGGCATTCTGAAATTGAATATACTTGTGTTAGTAAAGTGAATGTATTATATATATATATATATATATATATATATATATATATATATATATATATATATATATATATATATATGCCAAACTCCCACACACTCACACACACACACACATATATATCTTCTATATATATAAAAATAAGTCGGGTTTTCATTCCTGACGAAATAACTCCAGAACGCACGAACCGATTTCGACAATTTTGCATTCGCTGGAAAGGTCTTGGGTTCCGCAAGGTTTATAGCTAAGAAAATTAGTGGTACATGGCATCGTGCCCTAATGCAAATTGCTGGAACTTCATGCACCGTAATTAAAAATTCGAGTAATAAAAATAATCAACAATTGTTTTAAATAATTTTAACTGGATTATCTTCTATTATTATATATATAAAAATAAGTCGGGTTTTCCTTCCTGACGAAATAACTCCAGAACGCACGAACCGATTTCGACAATTTTGCATTCGTTCGAAAGGTCTCGGGCTTCACAAGGTTTATAGCTAAGAAAATTAGTGGTGCATGGCATCGTGCTCTAATGCAAATTGCTGGAACTTCACGCACCGTAACTAAAAATTCGAGTAATAAAAATAATCAATAATTGTTTTAAATAATTGCGAATAGATTATCTTCTATATATATAAAAATAAGTCGGGTTTTCCTTCCTTATCAAATCTTTCATTTTCAAATATAAAACAAACAAAAAAATCCTTCATCTTTCTCACGAAACCATCTGGTGGCGAAACGGAGTTCGTCGGGTTTGCTAGTATATTATATATATATATATATATATATATATATCACCGGTGAATGTGCACATTGAATACTAGCTGACCCGACAGACGGTGTTCTGTACCCACGTCTACAATTTTACAATATTTTATACTAATATTTACTGCTTAGTTAAAAATAATAATTACTGTTTTTTGAATTACTATTTACACCAATATATGAGTGATGTTGAATGTAGAACTGTTTCAAATAAAATGATTCTTCTCAATTCCCACAGTTAACACTTTAATTATTCATTTAACAAATATTAAAAAATGTTCAATAAAATTGTATATTAAAATTATACACTGCGATTTATAGAATATATATGCGGCATAATACTATATAGCATAACTTTGTTGATCGTGAGTTGAATAGAGCACATGTGAACAGGATTTGACAAATTAATTCACTTCAAATATAAACTTAAGCAATAATGTA